TTATTTTTACCAAATTTGAAGTAAAAAGTAGACGCATAAATTCTGCTTGTGTATCAGGATTTGAGCGCGCGCCGTGATTGGACTGTTAAAAAGACATTGTCAATTTACCAATCATTTTGAAGGGAAATTCGAAAGGGCGCACTTCCGGCAATTCGTTGAACCAGTTAGGGGTCCAGATCCAGGATATCTGTGCTGCTTCGGAGACTTTACTGGCCGGGGTTACCGCTACGGTGATCCAGGTTCCTTGCTTGAATTGAATCTCTTTCTTTTCCATTTATCCCTTATTTGCATTTACCCTTGGTCTTGATTAAACCTTACTAATAAACATTTTTCTTCTGTAGAAAAATTTCGTCATCTTCCACAGCAGATTCTGGTGAGTCGGATTCTGTTTAGTCAAGTGTCCCATCGGCCTAGCCTGCGAACACAGCCGCCTCTCACCGCCCTCCGCCGCTGTGATCTTTCCAGGAGAGAGAGCTTTTGACCCAATAAGATCCATTCTGATGACATAGAAAACACAACCGTCTCGGTCGCGAAGCGTCCCTCTCGACGGGGAGCGATGAGAGGCTACTGTATTCACAGACTACATCGTACGCACTCATGCACTTCAGTGGAGGATAAGATCACCACGTCCATTGGTTCACCTTGAAACTCTGTGGCCTGGACGCAAAATTATACCCCAAATTCGTCATTGACATAGATATGCTGTGTCATACTAGAAATGATACATTTATTGTGTGACCTTCTGCGGGACTTTAGATCAAAAAGCAAATATGGGCACGACTCAATGTAACGGATATATGCATATAAAAGGCAATTCACATACTGCACGGTAGCCGGCTTGATTTGCTGTTGCTTTAATCGGTGATAGATATTATTATGGTCTATAGTGTGATGAAGCAGACGTTTACAATAAATGTGACCCTTTATGCGACTTCAGATAAAAAGTGCATGTGTGCGATGATACACGGCAAACAAACGTGCATCTACGGCTTCATATTGTGCGACAATGTTCAAGGAACAGGCTATTTCCGTCCTCTTTGGAAGACTTTCTTGCTTCCCTTAATAAGTGCGTTAAAAATTAAGTATTCTCATCTTTTTTGAAGTATTTCAATGTATGAAGGACACAGTTTGTGGCTTCATCATGCGCTGTAAAAAGCTAAGCAAATAATGGAAGCCAGCTACCTTAGCGCTGCTTACCATTAAATAAATTATCAATGAATAAAAGCTATTCATTGAGCAGGTTCAGGGCTCAAACTAATTTTCGGACGGTGGCCGGACACGATGACCGACCAAATAAATTTTTGCTCGAACAAGTCTCGTTTGTGACCGGTCAAAATATTGGGAAGAAAAGTTAACTAATCCTTGTGTAAGTTTCTATTTGTATTTTTAGAAAGGGACAAAAATCTAAGATTTACAGCTCAGGATGGTTTGTTCAAGAATGAGAGTATGAAATACCTGTCAACATGACCGGCGAGTGAAGTTTTTGGCTAGTCACGTTGCCATTCTGGCCGGACATTGTCCGTTGAGCGACCGTTATTTCGAGCCATGCGTTGTGTGTTTCTTGTTCATGTACTCTGCGATTACTTTTTACCGCCTTTCCATTTTGTCGCAGGTGCAACAAATACAGAGATAACATCAAGTGACGTCACTTTTGTCCAACTGGATTCTTGCATTTTAGACAGAATTAAACAAGAACCGATCTACTGCGATGAAGAACCAAATCTTTCACCCGTCTTTCTTCAGCAGCAAGTTGATGAAAATTCCATTTCGGAAATGCCTTGTAAACATGCAACGAACGAGGCGCACGTCGTGAAAGTAACAAAACAAGGCGATACTGGGATCGCCAGTCAAGCCACAGCTAACGAGTTACTGAGTAAAGAACCTCAAGTTGAAAGTGGTCAAGATAACATAAATCAAACACTCAACTGCTCTAGCGACAAACCATCTGAGGTAGCTGTTACAGGTGTGCGTAGAAGTTCACGTCAACGTTTTCCAGCAAGGAGACTGTCAACTGGTCGCGAAAAGACAGAACCCAACAACCAGCAAAAACAGAGTATAACTGCACGCATGCATCCAGGGAGTATCTCAGTAAAGAACGCTTCTTACCATGGGGCAAGCAACAGCACTAATTCACGCTCGCTTCGCCCATCCACTGACAAACACGAAAAGGCTGTACGAAAAACTCATGAGAGTCAAACCTCTTCAGTTCAAATTATTTCAGAGAGGATGCAGGCATTTAGAGACGTGGATAGGCAAGGTTCAAGCAATGCTAACGCACAGGATTTGCCAGACTTGGCACCGAAGAGAAAGGATATTGAAGACACCAGAACTCGATTAGTGATACGAGACTCAAATGATGTGTTCAGACGACGATTTCGAAAGGTAAAGAGTTAAAGAACGCTTAGATATATGTCAGGCAGGTAGCTCAAGAAACCTTTGGATAGCATAATGATTAACAATGTAGGTGAGTGTACTCCCCGTTCTAGACCGTTATTGGGTCCTCCGAGTGTTGGCCAAGCCTGGAGTACTCTCAGTATTTTTCTAATCTTAATACGAGCCTCTACTGTTTATCAGTGGCGGATCCAGGGGACGGGTCCGGGGGGTCCGGACCCCCATCAGACCTGACGCTTGTTTGAGGCTAAAATTCTTACATCGACAGGATCGTATATCACTTTTTAACTGGCTGATTTTTTAATGAAACGCGCGTTGCATTTTGCCACTAAAATAAATTGCAGGGATATTCAAGTGGTAATTGTTTTAGGGTACCCTCCTATGATATGTTCGCCTCTGCTTCCAAAGTAGTATTAGGGAACTTAAGATAGAGACGTTTTCGGGGCGACGGCGACCGGACTGGCAGAGCAATCCTGGAACAGAGGTAGCCGTCGCTTCCCTCCAAAATTCGAACATTAAGATCGCAGTGAACTCAGGAGGACGGCGCCTTGGAGGACTACCGAAGGGGAAAATATGGCTTCACATAAAGAAGTAAGAGAATTAATGCTTAATTGCTTGCATGCAACAACAACAACTTTATTTCAGTATTCCCACGTTAGTACGTGGTATTACCAACTATTCTAAACAATTTTCAATACATACGTTTCATTTATACGATACTCTAACGAAAAAAGTGAGCTAAAAACACACAATTAAAATATCGGAGTTCATATTTTTTGTCCGGATACTTTCATTTGGCTCGTAGGACGATTTTGTCCATGTAAAGCTCAGTTACGGTTTGCTGTTTGCCATATTGGATCAGGTTGCATCTTGACTCTGTGAAATCCGAAACATAGAAACATTATAAAGATGTAATAACAGAGCTTGGAAATCGAGCTTGAAATGTGACTCATAGAAAACAAGGACAATTTAAGGACGGTAATCTGCAAAATTCTGGTTGCTAAATGCAACAAACCTGATTGAAATGAGAGTTAAATACTCACGTTCTCGCCACAACGCCAAACAGACCAGTTTCACGTCGCCGACGGGAGCACGACGGTAATGTGGTGAGCAAGAGCATGCGCAATTTTGCACAAATCATGACGTCACGTCCGGTTGAAGTTGCCGTCGCCCCGAAAACGTCTCCATCTTAAGTTCCCTATTTCCCGCGCCAACGGCGACCGGCGACCGGCGTTCACAGATTGAGAAACACGTGGTCGTCTCTGCTTTCTCAGCTTGTCGACAATGGTTGCGACAATTCGGCCGATAGCCTCTTTCTATCAACCAGTCAAATCCAGTGAAATTTAAACTGATGAAACAGTTAACGGGGAAGAAGCTGAAGCCATGGAATGTGAAAGCGGTAATTTGGGTGGAGTGGGGAAGGGGGGGGAAGTGTTGGCGAGAAGTAATTTCCCAGAGAAAGAAAATCAACGGTCCTTTCTGAACCAAAGTCTGGACTCCCCCCCACCCCCCTCCCCTTCAATGCATGTCCTCCAACGATTGTAAGAACTATGCATCGTGAGTCATCGTTTCGTCTCATGCTGAGCAGCCTGGCGTTTTCACGGGACAGGTATTTCCGTCTCTAGTTTCCGCACAATTTTGACTTTCTGGCCTAATTTCCGCAATTAATCCGGACGACCTTCGTAGGTTTCAAATAAATGATCGGTAGCTTAACATACTCCCAACATTTCATTGGTGATTCGGAAAATAATTTTCGGTGTTTCTTGTATTTTAGGCATTGAAGGACTTGGTGGCAAAGCGGATGTTAAAGTTTCAACAGACATCTATGTACAACGAAACTGTGTCAGCTTTAAAAAAAAAGGTGGTAAATCTCGAAAGAAGAAATAGAGATTTGGAGGAAAAGGCTGAAAGACTGCAGGGGTTTATAACGAATCTTCAAAACGAGGTAGATCTATTATAAGTTATGAATTACGGTTGATAAAATAACCTTGTGAACTCCTTGTGCAGAACTGATGTTGAACGAAAGTAAATTTGTAAAATATATTTTAAACTGCTGGTTTCGATCGGAAGATCTCAACTGAAGGGAACATATTCGCGAATGAGCTGCGTGTAGTAAGCGTATTCTTTAGTTATTTATTTTTTCTATTCTCATGCACCTTGCCACCTCTGTTACTACGAACAATTTAATTATTTCAGAGACAAACCTTGCATAAAGGTATTATTTTTCAGATACGGCATTTTTTTCGAAATAAAACCGAAAGGTTCGCATAGTGATTGAATTTGTCTTAATCTTCCTTAAACAGATTACGATTACGTATTTAACGCCGAATGTTGTTTCTGTGCATTACTTAGTTCGAATCTACATGTTAATTTAGATATTATTATCTGGTAAGATATAACAGCATTCTTCTTGGACCATTTGTTTTAGAACGAGGAAGAAAGAACGCAGACTGTATCCCGAGGAACTCAAGTCTCAATGGGAATGGTAAGTTAAGACTATTTTTGTGAGTTTTGTTTGTATTTATTGAATGACTTTGGGTTGGCGATTACGGCTATGGGTAATCTTCTCGGTAAACCGTCGGACAACGCCGTATCTTTCAGGTCTTTTGGCGAGCTTCCTATCCTTTTACACCGAGTCATTTATTCCATTTGAACACTGTATTACGAACAGACCGTAAACAGAAACGAAATTAACCCCATGGTTTAAATTTACCCCTGTTAGGCAATTGACAAAATGTTGGCTAATTTCTCCCCATAGGTGCCTTTGTAGTCCTCTCCGTCAAATCCAGGGTGCTCAACCTTTAGTTTTGTGAAAGTAACAAGGGAAAAGCATCTTATGCTGCACCCTGTGTGAAAGAGGTTTCGTTTTCTTTTGACTTTTTGAAAAGAAATGAATGGACAGAAACTTCTCTATAGGAAGATAATCGGGAGAAAAATCTATATCTGCAATAGTGCGTCTATTAATTTGGTGCTCTTTCCTTTGTTTACCCCGTAAAATTTTTGTAGATACTCAGTCGGGCTGCGGTTCCAAGTAGCCAGGCAGAGACACGTGTTCCAGTTTCCACAGACGGACAGACTATGCTGTACAGTTCCCCGGATGGACCAGTGATTGTCAGTGTCTGTGGACAACAGGTAAACAGTGCACCGCCGAGTGCTGGGTCTTCTCAAACCAATAAAGGGTGCAATATCACTCCTCAAGAGGCAGTATCAGTATCCGTTGCAATGCGTTCAGTTCAGGACAATTACCCATACCCTCAAATCCTGAATGTCTGCTCTGTTATAAGCTCTGAGTCACAGTCGGTTTTTCATCATGCACCTCAACAATTTTCTAGTAAGGATTCGTTTGTCCTTCCGGAACATCGGTTTATGGATAGTAGGTCAGGCCATAGGTCAGGCTGTAATGGAAACGAGACCACTCATATGAGAGCTACAAATGTCCACATGCCCAAACCCGGAGCCGCGTTAAATTTGTCTTCGAATACTTCTGGGACAGGAAGACAACAGAGGCTTGTTTCAAGTTACACACCTTTTCTTGCAAATCAAAAAGAGGCTCAGTCAGTTCATCGCATCGCCACTGTTCACCCTCAGCAAATATTTCCTGCCCCAGAGACTACACTACATACTGTTTCCCAGCAAAACACCCCCATGACACAAATTCAACAAAATGCGCTGCTGCCTACTAATCAGGGGGAAGCAAAAGCTGATCCAGCACGGCCTGATTCATTCAGTAAAAGCCGAGATATTAGAAGTGTCGCAAGCCTTGCTCCTCAAGGCCAGCAAGCTGTGGCCGATGCAAAGAACGATCATCCTAAAGGATGCGACAAACGGCTGAAGAACATCCCATCTACAAAGTGTCCTCCTTCTGGTTATCGTATTAGAGAATTTCACGAACTTCTTCCGCATTCGTACCCTAATGTAAGACGCTATCATTGGGAAGAAACGCCTTTTTATAGAGCTACATCCTGTTTACGTGGGGAAACTGCTCAAGCTAGCAGGCAACAGACCAGTCAGATCGAAAGGCCATTGCGTGAATGCGTTTGTTGCCCTCCAGATACCAGTCAGCAAAACACAAGACAAGGGCAAGCTAACGTATTTCAACCGCATGTGCAACAACAGGAAAGGCCAGATTTACCTAGGGTAAATGCGCAAAGAGTTGGGACAAACGCACATTTTTCTCTCCAGCCTCAATCATTGCAGCAAGGACTACCAACCACATCCCCTTCAAACAATTCTCAGCTCAGTCGTTTTTTAGGACCAACTGCTGAAGGTTTGGCTAGACCAAGCCACCTTTCTTCTGCCAACACCATACCGGTTGCTCCGTTAAGTGCCCAGAATGGGCTACCGATTCAGTTACAAGAAGCACCAAACGGGTCGTCTCAAACATACTTGCGTTCACTGCCAACGCATCCGGAAAAGCATCTTCACTCAAATCATCCGCGGTTCCCGTTTCATCGACAGAAACATGCAATGCTATCTGGTGGTCCACATACGGAGGCTTATTGGCAGGTAAGAGGGAACGAAAAACAACTATATCATGGTGCCAACATGCAGATAGTGCCTGGAGGAGGTGATGGTAATTTAAGAAATTATTACTTACACAGCCAACGACAGCAACCACAGCAGCAAAACGTGGCACAGTTACATTTACAACAACAACACCTACATCAAAAAGAACACGAGACACAGCAGTTACAGCAACACCATCAACAACAACAAGGACGACAACAGCAACAACTTACCTTAGAACAACTGCAACAACAACAACAACAACAACAACGTTTTTTGATAAATCTACAATGGCGACAACAGCAACATCAACCCCAACATCGACCACAACAACCAGTTGAACAACGCCACTGCTACCACCAAAAACAGCCACATCGACAGCAGCAACAACACCAGCTAATAAAACGGCGAGAGCAACAGTGGCAACAACAACAACCACAAAGTTCTCAGCAGCAGGTACGAGTAAATCGCTATCAACTTCAGCATGAGGAACAAAAGCAGCAGCAGCAGCAACAACAACAACAACAGCAACAGCCACCTTCATGGTTGGTGCATTACCAGCAGAGAGCAGAATATCTACAACCCCCAACCTCTTCTTATCAGGTGGCACAAACCAGAGTATGCTCTCAGCCACCACCAACTACCAAATCACAATGGCCGCAGGGTTTTCATTTATTCGTACCCCCTGCACCTTCTCAAGAAACGTCCATTCCTAGGGAGTCATTTTGCTCTACAAGTAGTAATGGATCAGCAGTGGTTCAAGTTGGCTCTCAAGCATCATTGACGCAAATAAAACATGCCCGTATGGGATCGGATTTGTCTTGGCAAGGAGCAAGAGATATGACTGGTATCCAGAATGGAAATGGCATAAATATTGGACGAAACCAGAGCAACTTGGCGAATCCACTTCAAACATCGCACCAGCAGGTCGGGGTTTCTGGCAAAAACTTTACCGAGTTTTCAGCAAATGCACCACACACTTTGCAGACGGTGGTTTGTCAAGCAGGAAACATCAGCAGTCAACCCCCGCCTGACGATACCACGTGTGGAAGCATTACAACAACACCTTATGCAAATATTCCGTGTAGTTCATCCGTGGGCTCGACGTTAAAGGCATCTACCGTATATTCTGTGAGCGGTCCTTCAAGGCCTTCATCTTCACTGGATGAAACAAATAGTCGGCCAATTGTCAGCTCTGTATGTCGTGAACGGCAGGAAAATCGTACTTTTGTCATGCCCACATCCCATTCAGGTGGATCGGTACCAGCCAAAACGTCACCGTTAGAAAGTGAGGGGGAAGTTGATTTGTCAATTAACAGTAGAGTGACTAAGAAAGACATTATGTTGAATAGACCTATTTTTCAGAGTATTGAAGACACCCCTCCACCTTTACCTGCAGAATCCGAGCGAAAAAGTCCATTTACTGACATAAACAGTACGGGCCATTCAGAAACCAAACCCGTCGCAGATGAAGGGAAAGAACTCTTTGAAACATGCTCTGTTGAACCAAGCAAAGAGACTGAGCCATGTTCTGTTACGCAAAAAGAGCTTCAGACAGATCTCGATACACCTGGGCGACAACCAAACCGAGAGGGTAAACCCTCTCAGTCCGAAATGCTGCAGGCACCTTGTTTGATTAAGCCTATTCTTACTGTCCAGGAAAGTGATAACGGTATCGTTTTATCGTGGGATTTACAAAATAGAGAAAATGAATCCAAGGTGAAAAAGTATGAGTTGTTTGCCATGTCATCCTCTACTGAAACTACTTCGTCGAACTGCTGGGACCTCCTTGGTCTTGTAGACGCTCTTGATCTTCCAATGGCGTGTACCTTAAATCAGTTTTTGCCCGGCGCTTCTTATTCCTTTACCGTTCGTGCTCTTACATTAGATGATCGCTGTGGAATGTTTAGTGATCCTTGTTCGGTTACATTTAATGGATCACTACTGACAGTGACTGAGAAAAAGTAGTGGTCTACGGTAGTTAACGTTATTTTTTAGGCCTAGAGCGTATTTCCAGATATTATGAATTACAGTAGAGCGCAGCTGTTTAAAAGTTACGGTTCTGTTGTATTTCAGAGATCTTTGAGTAGAATGTTTTCTCAATTTTTCTCATATTTTTCTGTTTTGTTGATGCTTCCGGCTCGCGAAAGAGAGTTAAAAATTTCGCGCTTCGCACTAGAATTTTTGATCAATGATAAATCACTGCTGTTCATGTTTAACATTACATAGATAAAAAATGTATATTTTTCATTAGTTTGCTGATGGACCTTTTGTAAATGGTACTTTTGTAATTCATATTTTGTTTAGAAGAAAGGTGGGTTAATATAAATAATTTTCTTATTCAAATAGACTGTCTATTTCTTCTTCCATGCACAGCACTGCACAGTTTAGTTGGACATGACGCTAAAGTTATTGTTGTTGTTTTGTTTGATTTTGTTGTTGTCGTTGTTTCTTTTTCTTTTTTTGATGTTTGAAAATACTGATTTTATCAATTTGCTCGAAATGTTACCATTTAGTTTGTTGGTACTGCGCGCGCGGTCCGCGTGGTGGTGTTTAATTTTTCATCTTTGTCATAGAGGGTCAAAAGCCTTTATATAAGCTAGACAAAAACTGAAACTGACTTCCTTCTAATCCTTACAGAATTCGTTAAAATTAAGAATTGTTGATATTTTTCAAATTTCCACATTGTTAAATATTATGCCAGTCACTTTTTCCATTCCAGATTATTTGCCAAATTTTGGCACCTGTCGTCTATACCTGATAGTTCTTTGTCAACCGCTTTACATTAGTTATAGCGCTTTTCCTATGTGTGAGAAAAATATTATAGCCAGTCTCAATATCTTTGCAAATTTCATCTGACAGAAATTTGCAAATAAAAGCTTGAAGTAAAGAGGTTGACCGATGTTTTGGGGGCTATTTTTGGCAAAATAAAAACCGTAACTGATGCATTTCCTGGGTTACTGATGGTTTAAAAGGAAATGGATTATAATTCTTCTAATGTAATGATCATCAGTTAGATCACTGTCAATCTGCGGTTAAACCAGCAATTAAAATACATCATTGCTAAAAACTGTGTTTTGCCCAAATTTTTTACCCAAATGAATTTGGTACTTCCGTCTAAACCAAAATTGTCGCCGAGATCTTGTTTCAGCTTGAGTTTTCCTTTTGAGATGGAAAATTAGGACGGAGCCCCTCATATATAAAACACAGACGAGGAAAACAATGGAGAAATTGCTGCCAGGGTAATAATCTATAAAAGGCCTTTGGTTTGCCGACCACAATTCAGTCAACAGCCACCTTTGACTCCGATCCGGTGATCAACATATGATAATCCGTGGACAGACAGCTGACAGAAAAAATTATACATGATAAACAAATAAAAGAAACAAATGAAATAGGGGAAGACACTAAACCAAAGTGTACTCCTCATACTAACAATACTTCGGCGTTGGTACTGTTGTATGCACTTACTTAGAACTACACGAATATCTTTGTTTCTGTCCCCATAGTAAATTAAACACAGAGTGGCCCAGGCCATCCTAAATTCTGGATGGTATACCGTGTTTACGGTTACTCAGGTTTTTGCTCGCAAAACGTCTGTTTGGTCATTCAAATGCCATGCGAAAAGTTATCTGTTGACTGCAGCTTTTTTAAGAGGTTCAGATTCTAATGAAAATCGCTGTATGACTCTAATTTAACAAATGTTGCAGTCAATTTTTTTTAGTGAAACAGTTTCCACGACCTTCAAGTATATATCATTTGCTCAGTTACGTTAATGGAATTCAGTTATTGTTTTTAAAAACCTGTTTCTGAAAAGAAGGCTTTGCTTGAGAGCAAAAGTGACAGAAGGTACCTGGAAAAACCGCTTTTGACATGCAAATTTATTTTGACTTAGTTCAAAATATGTTTCCAATAATTGTAAATTATCTGACTACGGTCTATTGTTATTTAAAAGTTTGTAATAACCAGAATATGTTACGAACAACAATCCTAGGAAGACCATCAAGACATTTTCTTCTGAATATATTTTTTACAATATATACAAACATCAACTGAGGCGAAAAAACACTGAGTACAAAGTTGGTTAAAAAATAAATACACGTAAATAAGCCTACGATATTTGCGGAACTCCGAGTTTCAATGGCACGTGAATGAACTGACAGATCAACCAAAAAACAATTAAACTGCTTCTTTTTTTCTTAGCATCGGTGTATTCACGTGTTAGAGTGACAATTTTCGGAACTTGGTTACAACAATGCGACATCATGAGATCTTACTCAGGATAGAACTTGTCTTTTCATTCATTTCTGCCGTCTACAATCGTACTTTCTTCACCTAATTATATATTTCTTTAAATTTTTACACTTCTATTTTATATTAAAGTAAGTTACGTCTCTTTACTGCGAGTATTGGGCCACCTCGGAGTCTATCAACAAACGTTCAGGTCGATTGCATCCTGGGTTGGTGTTTTTCCTTCTATCAACCACACGTGCATTTGAATTACAATAGAAATGTAAAGGCGCTTAAAATACAATAAACGCCATGCAGCTATTCCGCTGCTTTGAGGACTCTCAAAAAAGCGAAGATTTAATAAACTTGTTCCTCAAAATAGAAATTTTTGGTATTTCCGCCCGTTCAAAAGAAATTTTAACAAAATTAAGGGTTCTAAAAACCCCTCTTGCTTTCTCCGAAATGAAGAGAACGAGGTCTCAACTATTGAGTGAATTGAACTGTACATATGTGCGTTATTTACAAATAAGTCAGTGTTAATTTAACTCATGAATCAAGGTTTACATTTGAGCTTTTGCAGCTCTAAAAGTAAATCTGTTTCAGAGTGAGTTTCGCTAGGGCGCATGTCATGTCTCAGTAACAAATGATAATAAAAAACAAGATTCCATTTTTTTGTCCTCATCAACATGCTTTTCTTTTGTGTTTGTCTGCAGAAGCTCTTGAAGCAGGCCTTATTGAACTCCAAATCGCAATTTTCTGAGGCGGCTGTGGTTCGACTGTATACTAAAATCCCACTGAAATTGTTCCGTGTCTGAATCTGTGAAAAAAGTTGTTATTATAAAAGGTATCACCCTAAGACGTGACATATAGCGCCTCGCTAATTTCAAAACATGCATTTGAGATGAGATAATGTGATTACAAATACTTGCGAAGGTTTCGTTCCGCTTTGGCCATCACTCGTTCGAAGATTTACTTGGAGGGCGTTGTGGTTGCCAGCTCCTTATCATCTTTTCCTAAGAGGGTCAGTTGTATGTGTGTACAAGCAAATACCCATGGGATACAATTACCTGTCGCCAGACAAAGATGGTTTTTTTTAGCCATTGTTGTGTTTGCACATGGAACTGTGAGTGCACGTGACTAAGTGAAAGTAATGTTTTGTAGATCGATCTTTCGTTGGCACCACCGACACAAATCGTGGCTGTTAGCTAGTCAGATCATCAAGCTGTATACGACCGCGCTCTTGGACAGTTGTTGTTCACGAAGTGTCGTCTGCGCCAGGTTCGTCCTTCGCGGTCCCTCTTTAAAAACCCAGAATCTCTTGCTCGCTCGCGATGGATTTCCGCGAGGTTTCGACTCTGCACTCTTCCTTTTGCTTTTTGTTCCTCATCCTCCAGTATATCATCGAGATTTGGTTCGTACGAAGAGTGTCGACGAATCCTTCCACCCTTAACTTGAGGAGGAGGTACGCGGCTTTTCATGCCCTCAACTGCAGCCTGGTTTGCTTCCATGCTTTGACTGAGAATCTCGACATCTTCCTTCGAACTTTTGCGAGCACAACCCTTCTCCACATCCGCGCGATGTGTTTCTTTCCATTCATTCATGGAGACAGGTTTGTCTGTAATAAACAGCATCGTCCCCCAATCGACGGATCCAGAATTTCCAGCAATTTTCCGTTTTCTGCACCTTCTGTAATGATCACGTACGCACTGTTCACCCTCTGCGATAACGCCACTTGAGAAAACAAGAAGGCACAATCTTGTTTACATCGCCTTCATTTCACGTGCTATAAATATTAAATAGGAGGGCGAAACTCGAATGACGGGTGTCAACATTTGAATGACAAACATGGCAACCAGCGAAAATTATTTTCAAAATTTAAGCTTCCATTGAAAAAGTAAATTATCTGAGTGGATAAATTTTAATGGCTTAATACAATAAGGACGAATTTTATTGGTCGCCTTAGAAAGCGCGATGACAAGTTCGTTTTGCCCTGTTTAAAATAATAAAAAATACGAGATCAAGCCATTCTCCATATTCCATTTATGATAATACAAAATAGAAAAAAAAATGCAGTTAATGAAGTGTAACACATACATCATCGATCGAGAAACATTTTATTGAGTAACGAAATAGCTGTAAGTTTGCCGTGAAGACGAGAAAATAATGCATGTAACTATAAATAATGTTTTTTTTAGAACGACAGCCAAGCAAAGCAGGTGAATAACAAAAAACAAAACAAGTTATGAATTGAAATAGAGTACAATAAAAGAAACCACGTACGCTATAGAAGTGCTAAATCGTTAAGTACATATGAGACTTTCAACATTTGACGATTGGAACAACTATCTGTCTGTTGAGCGCATTAACAAAACAGCAAAATACACCTTTACAAAAAGTGAAATTATCATACGAGGATGATATGACAGAACGTGTCGAAACTGCATTGTGAAAAAATACAATTCGTTGTCAGTCAGATATAATAGACGCCTTTCAGTTTTATTGAATACTCTGTTAATTTTCCTAAAAACATTATGAATTCGCAACTGCAAAGTGGCGTTCAATTCTTGAATACAAAAGTATGTTTTTAAATATTATTTTAAAAATTGCAGAGTGGAGTGACAGTCCATTCAGTGTACCGACTCCTTTCTTGATCAAAAGAGGTCACTGACAATTATATTGCCTCCCAAGTTTCACCGCTACGTTCATTTTAATAATGACACTCAAGAATTTGTTCGAGGTCCGGCTGGTGAATAGTCTAGGATCCTTACCTCACCCGCCGATGCTTTTTATTCCTGTAACAAACAAGACGGCAAGCGAAAATAACTTAATCAGTATGTTTTAAAAACAAATTTCACCATTCGGCAGCTGATTCGATTCATTTTTGTATTGCGTAATATTGTATATTGTAAGCTTTCAAGTATGAAAACATGGCCAAAATTTTCAAGTGAAGTGGCATGTGACTTTATTTCGAATCAACCATTTCAGTAAACGTCTGATTTTAAAAAATAGTTACCCCCCATCCCATCGCCGCTTTGCGTAAAACTGGCCGAACTGGAGCTTGTCAGCCAATCAGAGGGCTAAAATGCCATTATTTACTGGTCCATAAGACGCCAAGTGTGTTTTATTTACCTTTGCTTTGGAAATAATAAACGTTTCGTTATGAGGTAAAGAAAATCCTTCTTTCATCATGCTCACAATCAGTTCATTTTAAACACAGATATATAAACAGGCAAAAAATTATTAATTAATACCCCAGAACAATTTCATAGACCTAAATTTCACGATTTCAGAAGGAAAAAAGTCGCATAATCAGCCCCTGACGAATCAATATCACTTTTAAAACCGTTTGGCACGAAATGTTTTCTTTGGCAGGGAGGTGTGCCAGACTATATAAAATAAACATCTTGTCGGTGTTTCAGTTGTTCTAGTTATTGATACACGCTGTTTGCGTCACACGCTATTAATTATCCTCCTTAAATTTGATTAGACAAAGATTTCTTAGACAAGATCTCATTGTGTTGTGACCTTTGCCTTTGTTTGTACCGCAATGTCGACAAAATATAATCCATAAGGACGAAAAGAAAACAACGCTCTCTGACAATGCAACAGGGTTGTTGTTGACATTGAGCCGAACGTGAATGAACGCGTAGCATACCAAAAATAATTCGCTGCAGTTTCAGACTTAACGTTTGCGTTCAAGTGTTTCACCACAGGCACCCCAATCTTGGTACATTGCACACGTTAGAGAAGTTCTATCAAACTGTGAAGGCAGTAACAGACGAAACCCATGCATAACCCGGGTAATGGGCCTGGGGGGGTTACTTGGGTTAAGTTTTGCTGAGTATGTGCCGCTGGCCTCTCAGAAACCCTACCCCATTATTTTATAGTCTATTCTGTTACCATATTATAGATCTCATCTTAGTCACTTTTGGCAAAAAGTAATTTTTGCAATCGCACCTTACTCACTCTCTGTTTATGCATCTATAAAGCTTTTTAACTAAGTCACCCTGAAATGAGCTGACACTCTTGTTAAACTTCATGTGGTGTAAATCTTTCTATTTTTTAATCCCCACACACTGAATTTTCTGACCCCCAAATCCTGAAAATGTGCGACCCCATTCTAGTAACTCTTATAAAAAAGCAACCCCATAAAAGTCAATCCAGTCGTGAAAATGCGACCCCATCCAGCGACATATACCCATCAGCTTACTACTAGGAAGTACCCCCCCCCCCCCCCAGGGGTTATGGGCTCTTGACAAAACACATTGATTTTGTAGATTTTTTGGCTAGTATTTTTTAAAACTTTTTCTTAGTCATCAGCCGCTCCTGTCATCATGTTATTTTCGCGAAAGTGATTTAATTTGGTTTTGCGCTAGTTGGGAACGCTTACTTTGAGAGGGATGCAAAGTTCTAAACTAGGTCTGTGAAGGGGGTACCATTTGACAATAAAAGGTTATACGAAAGCGGTCCCTTTCTGTCAAAAATAAAAGGTTCAGGGGTTGGACCGTAGGGTGAAGCCTCCCTATATAATTTTTTTTTGAGTATGCCCTTTCCCCCGGGCCGAGCTGTCGTAGTCGTCTTCGACGCAGCTGTTGTTTTGTTGCTTGGATAGTCACGCAACGGGTATTGAGTACAGCAGCGGTGTGATTAGGGCTTTGCCGCTATTTAATAACACGACAGAATCATCTACCAGGTTTTATCATTGGATTACGGAACGACTTTATCCAGCATGCATGGAAAAATGGATAACACACAAATTATGAGAGGGTACTAGATGGTCGTATTACACTGGTTTGAAGTTTTACGAGAAAACAATAACTCCAGTTTAATAACAAACTCGCAGTTATACGCTCTAATCTTCCAATCGAATTTAATTTTTTCACTATACTAAGGCCACACTAGACAAGTACTCAACACACTAGACAAGTACTCAATCTAGTGAAAGCACTTTCATGGACCAGTTTAACAGTCATTCAAAATCTACCGTTTTTTCACCTTCGATATTTTTAGTTCACTTCATTTTATTCCGAATTCATGAAATAGGAAAAGAAAAAAAAATGACCGGAAATGTCTTCCTTCGAGGAGTGTTCAACTATTTATTCTTGAGTTTTTTCGACCTTCATGTACATGTACCTGCCTCTCTCGTCGAGAGAGAGACGTCTAGGTACGAGGCCGACAGTACATGTACTCCAAACAAGGTTACGTCGATTTTCTCCCGGGGAAAAACACGTCGATAAAAATTTTAGTTGCGCTGGCTTTAATAAAGACATAGCAAAGTGAGAAAACAGATTAAACCTGAGAAAACGGCTGGCATTTCGCGATTGCAGCGACGGTTTTCCCGCAAAATGAGGTCTGAGGAAGAAGGGCAGAATCCATACGATGACACGTTACTATCCAGATCTGGGTAGTGCTCTTTTTTGATAGGTTGAAGCATATTTTCAACCAATCAGAAGCACTGCCCATCTCAGGATAGTAACACGTCATCACTGGGGAATTTCTGTGCTAGTTCCTCAGACCGCATTTCGCGGGGAAACCATGCAGCGGTGGCGTCGCCAAATGTCTGCTGTTTTTTCGGGCTTAAAAATCAGTGATAAAAAGTTCAGCAGGTAGTGCCTAGCCCCAGATCGTGGACGGAGGCGACGCAGAGATCAGAAAGGGAGCCCCAAGAAAGGCTGTGAAATCATAGGCACCTGCTGCTCAAAGAAGAAATGAGTATTCAGGTTGGAATGCAACTGGAAACTGTAAAAATTAGCTCAAGGCTGGAAAACCCCAGGGAAATCATCTGTGGAGGTCCGTTCTGGTCCAAATCATGACAATAAAATTGTCTCAATAGTAAAGGATTAAATTAACTGCAAAAACCGTGGACGAGGATCCTGCTAGTGAAACGTTGGATCTCTAGAAAAGAGATCAAATCAGCCGAAATATAAAAACCAAGAACGAGGAGTCCAAAGACTACTGCATAGCTGATTTAAAACAACGTGTATTTATAAAAAACAATACACGTTGTTTTAAATCAGCTTTGCAGCAGTCTTTGGACTTCTCCTTCTTGGTTACAATAAAATTGCACCGCAAGTCATTCTTAATCCTACTCCAGCAAATATTATGGGCCTGTTGTGTATTTTTGTCCTCACTAAATTGAACAATACTTTTTTCAGCGTGTTAGTAATTATTTTTAGCAACATGAATTATTTTTGTTATAATTATACGAATATTTTTTTCATTCATATACCACGAATTATTTTTCAGTGGTACTTTGAACTATTTTTCTAATGTGTATCGATCGAGAATTATTTTTTTCATTGGGCGAAGAATTATTTTTTGCGGTATCGCGAATTTATCTTTTAGCCTACAATACATTGAGGGCCTTACAGCTGCAGGGAACTGGTTCGAGTGTTTCATTTCCTTGGCGAACATTTTGAAAGCTGTGCAAGCGGAGGAGTGCTTTCAAAGAGAATGCAAAGGCGAAACATTATCAGGGAAAGAAACTAAAGAGGTTTCCATGTTTTCTTTCAAAATCTGAGAGGAGCCAGTGGTCTGTGCGAAAGTGATGAGGTTTTCTGTACCGAAGACTTGATAGAGGAGACTACGAAGCGACTTCAAGACTCGTACACACGAAAATGTCTACCCAAATGACCAGTTCCCTACCCAATCTCGTACCTCGAATCCCGTACTATACACGCCGGCTTTCGTAACGAAGACGCTGAACATGAGAGCGTCCCCTACTCTGAACATCAGGAAGAAGCTCCCGATTCTAATCCAGACGGGCGGGCAAAACAAGCAGAGCCAGATGGACTCGAGGTAGAAGACCTTCGCCGAGTGCTAGTGAGAATAGACCTCCCTCAGCTCACTAACTGGGAAATTCGATTGATTTATATTATGGCATTATTGGCTATCTCACGTATCTGCCGTTGGACAGGCTCATTCATCTCCGGATATTAAAAATATAATGTTAGAAATCAGGAATTACTGTAAAGGCACTGAAGCAAGTCCCCGTCAATCACAAGCCCGCAATGTATTGTAGGTCAAAGAAAATAGATAGGTTGCACCGCGAAAAATAATTATCAGCACAATGAAAAAACAATTCTTAACATTGAGGTAAAAAAAAATTCGCAATACCACTCAAAAAAATAGTTCGTTGTACGAATGAAAAATAGCTGCACTTAATAGAAAAATAATTCAAGCAGCTAAAAATAATCAGCAACACGCTAAAAAAAGGATTGTGCTGTGATCACAAAAATTCACAACTGGTCCATGATAAGTGATGTACTGACGAAAAATTGACTTACGGTGCAATTATCAAAAACGATTTTGACCAGAATGGGCCTCCATAGAAATCAGTCTTAATGTATGTTTGATAAATAATTATAACATAGCGCGCGTGCTTGCCCTATGTAAGTCCTATTGAGCCGCTATGAACAAAATCTTTATTTACGCACGCCCGTGCGTAAATAAGATGACGTAAGCATTTTTTTTTTTTACCTGGCTGCAAAGTTCTCGTCTTTTAAGCTGCAGTGCAGTTTTCCTTCTCTTTAAAATATGGAAGAAACCAGCGAAGAACTGCCCAATTTTTCTATCGGCATTGACCTTTTAGGTCCTGATCCAACAAGCAGCAAAAATAAAGTCGAATTAAAAAAACCTCGCAAGTTGCGCGTTTCGCAAATTTGTCGGAAGACCAGCTGCAGCAAATTTTGGCCGAAAGACATTCACTGGGAACAGAACAGACATCAACTGGTCATCAACAACATTTAACGGTAAAATTTCCGCTTTTATTGTTGTTTTTAAATTTGTTATGCACTTTTGTTATGTCCGGACAATCCGACTGAAGCAGGAAAATTTCTCTCGCAATAACAACACAAATTACACAAGAAGACATAAATTTATTACTCACAAAAACAACTGCTGCCAGGTCTTCTCAAGAAGCCGTAATGACCAGCCAATGTTCGTAAATGAATATGAGTTTAAAGAATGATGACAGTCGTCTTCGCTAAAAACATGTTTTCTGGATTTCGCTGAGCAAAACGTAAACATCTTTTCAGCAAATCCAAACCATACTCCACGACTTCTTACGAACATGTTAGGATTTTAACTTTAGGTGAACTTTAAGACTCTTTTACCTTTGTTTCTGCTTAGTTTCCATTGATCGTTAACGAATAAAGAAGCAAATTTTCTATCTCAGTTTTACAGAAAGAATATTTTCATTCAAACTAGACGATTGTGGCGCGTTCGTAATCAGCCAATAGAACTGTTTGTTATTGTGTAGCGCGTTACGAGAATTTTGCAGTTCATCAAACAGCAAGCATTTTTGTCAGCTATGTTATAAAAGAATTTGCTCATGCTTTTAGCTGTGCGTATATCGAGTTATGGATGCACTTGGGAAGTTTGGAGAGCACTCAAGAAGCTAGAGTTGCACTCGGCTATCGCCTCGTGCAACTCTTACGCATCTTTCGTGCTCTCCAAACTTCCCGTGTGCATCCATAACTCGATATACGCACGCTAAGCATGAACAAATTCTTAAGTTTTACACGTTTAGATAATTAACTAAGCTGTACTTCCTAGGTTGAATTGCAAGGTACTGAATTCTCGGTCAGTACAAATCAAAGTTACTCGGGGCTAAGTTGGTCTTTCCTGTTAAGTTTGCAGGGGTAAAATTTAATTATGGGGAGGAAATCATAATATTTTTGAGTTTCAAAAGCCAAGGACGTGAAGGAACAACATTTCAGCCGCTCCTTGAGGAATGAGTCCGCGCTCAAAAACGGAACCAGTGGCTGGTAATCCTTTCCCGCACCAAACACAATTTTCATTTATTATTGTTTTTCTAAGGGAAAATCGCAGGGGACGAGGTTGATATCCAGCTACTTCTCTTTTTCTTTCTCTTTCTCAGTCCCTTAAAATCCTCAGATCATTCGAAGTTTCCTTTTTGGTGTTCTTGTTCTCTTTTTGTTCAGAAAATGCATCACGTGTTCGTCACTTACCACCACGCGTGACCACGAAACCTTTTATCGACGATTATTAATTCTACAATAGCTCTAACTTCCCAGCTGAATTAACACAACTTCGTCCCAACGGCTCGGTTGGGGCGCCTTTTTCTGGCGATAGCCTGCATTATTGATGACCAAATTGTTATTTTATTTGTCGACTGCCACTAGAAGTGATTGTCATTTGGAGTCTGGATTGGAGTTAAGTCAATATTGCATTTTGAATCATTCAGTGTTAAATATTAACCTAGCCTGAGGAGAATAATTATTTTAGCATATACCAAACCAGGGAAATAGCTGGCCGGAAATGATAAACTTTATTTAAAAAAAGAGCGAAAATCCTTTCCCTACTCTAAATGCCATTTACCCTACATATATCTCTATTGCACAGCCGGAAACTGGGACCGCTATGTAAGACATGCAAATCCTGACACACCCTTAACGAGAACGAGGCCGAAATTTCTATCTAGAAACTGGTCTAACTTGAATTGTTGTTTGGGTTAACGTTTTTTTTATACGCTTGTGATTACCTTTAATCTCAAGATCATAACCATTCTCTAGCTACGTGGTGTTTTGTCCTAGCAGTCATTACGAAATTCGCGCACCACAGCGGTTGAGGTATGAGGAAATTGACCAAAAATTTCTGTTTGCTCAACAGGTCGGGAACTGCCGGATCGGAAGCGTAATCAATACTAAAAGCAGTGTTGCAGTTTGCCTGACAGAAGTGTCGCCATGATTTAGATCGTGGGCGTGTAAAGCGGTACCTTTGCAAAAACTGTAGGTTATAAATTGAAGTTATCTTAATAACAAAGGCTTGCTTCAAGAATAATTATCAGTTTCTTTACGCAAAAGGACGTCAGAGTGGAACGTCGTGCACAGGTCAACAAATTTTGTCCAATTAGTTTTGCATGCTCTATCGTTGAGGGCCTTGCTTTATAGGATACTGTACATGTACGTTATTTTGAAATGATCTCATTTCAGAACAAAACCGATAAATATGCCCCTGGATACAGTTCTGTGCCTAGATACCTCGTCCTCCATGGGCTTCAACGAAGGTATGAGCCAGCTCAAGGCTGCAGCCTCGAAGTTTCTTGATGGAGTGGAAGACACTGCAAGACAAGCGGGTTTAAAGGTAATCAGTTACTCTTTACTGAAATAAAATATAAAGAAATAAGTACAGCAATAACTTAACAACACAATAATGAACCTATTTTCTCAGGCACAGTTTAGCCAAATAAGTAGTCAAATCTATCTTACCATTTTGAATATCTTTTTTTTTTCTTGCGGTCACCGCACTGTGTCACAAGCATGAAAACTTAATATGCGATAAGTTTTCATTTAGGTGAAGGAAAAAGGAGAAAAAACACGGCGTCGAAAGCATAAAATGTCAGAAGCGTTGTGCCTTGGAAGCTGATGTAAAGTGATTATTACGAATTCAGGTTGATTGGTCTTGTTTTAATTGCCATTTATTATAACAACGCATCAACAATGACGGGTTAATTTAAACAGGACTATCCCGTGAAAAAACATTCTACTTCCGTATTCATGTCACAGGTCTATGAAAAAAATTAATGATGTCTAAAGATCAATGTCCGAGAAAACGACTTCTTCGGGTTCGAATTCCGGAGTTTCATGTAAACTGCATCCACAAAGAATCAACTTTAAACCCCTAAGAGACCGTATTTACGTCTTTTGATAAAGCATTTTTCTTACCAAAACACCACCAGATTTTTCTCAAGAGGTTTTCCTTGAGGTAGGGTGTACAATTTTTCCTTACTCTTAGTCAGAGAACGAACCTCTGGAAACGAGCCAGGGTAATTGTTCCTTGGCATAAGCAGGGGATAAAACACGCCAAATGAGCCATTTTAACTTTATCGTTTGTTGACCACGGCAGCCAGAATATTAACAGCAACACCCTCAACTTGCGCTTACTGAAATCATAAAAAATATCAAGAATAAGTCATGATGTCTAAGGCAGGTAAAAAACTAAAAAAATGTTTGTGGAGGGAATGGCCTTGCACTCAGCCTCGTTTTGAAACAGAGGCTTAAGGCAACTCCAAAATGGCATATTGGCTTCGAAAGATTTCATTTCCATTTCAGGAAAACGTTGCCATCGTGGTGTTTGGAGCAAAAACGCAAGTTTTGCACAGGCTTTCCACAGACTACTTCAACATTCGAAGAAGTATAGGTATGCATTCTAATCTTTTCAGTGAAACTTCTTGTCCTGCTCTGTCGATCATTGTAATAATTTAATATACATTTGGATTTTTGGTTAAGATAGTAAGATATTACATATCATCTCATGGAACAGCCACTTCCGTCACCACAGTGCCACTGCCATTTCCACACCAACTTTCTCTCCCACCCCCACTGTCACTCAGTGCCTCTTTTACTGCCACTGCTACTGTAACTACCATCATTACTACCATTATTACTGCATTTGCCAGTTTCGACACCTTTACCGCTACCATCAGTCTCATTCTCACTGTCCTCACCACTTTCATTCCTACTACTTCTACCAACGCCTCTGACAGCGCCACTGCCACTACTTCTAACCACAACCAATGCCACTACAACTACCACTACTATTATCACTATCACTGCCACTGCCACTAGCACCAACATTGCCATTACTACCACAACCACCACCACTACTACTACCACTACCACTGCTTCTGCTGCTACCACTACCACTACTACTACCACTACCAATACCCCTGAAACTATCACCGCACTGCCACAACCACTACAACTTCCAATGCCACTGGAACTACCACCACCACTACCAATGCCACTACAATTAGCACTACTAATATCATTGCCACTGCCACTACCACTACCACTATCACTACCACTACCAGCAATACTGCCAATGCCAATGTCACTACCATTATTGTGAGTTGCTTCAACCACTATCATTACTTTTTTCTCTAGCTGGTCTTACAGCTAATGGTGTGACTCCAATGAAAGATGGCTTGATGATGGCTCTAAAAGAAATTGTGAGCAACGGTAAGTCTTTGTTATTAACGTTAGAGTTTTTTATCTTCCTTCTGTTGGTGAGCCAGAACCTACAGATACCTAAATTTCTTCCTTTATTCACAAGGGGGAACGCCTTTGGTTCTTTTCCAGTTTTCTATAGACCGATTTTACAACTTCATTAAAGAATTAAAACTTCATGCGAAGTGTTTTTTTATTCTCATATATATTTGTTGGTACTCTTCACAGGCTTATACAAGAATCACTATTGTGTATTCGAATCAGTTGAACCCATTAAACACACGCACCAAGTTCCAGCGAGCTTCTAATAGCTAGCTTGTAGAAACTACTGGTTTAAATACGTATAATATAAATAACAATGACATGTGCACCGATTGGTTTAAAATCCTTACATTGAGAATACTTTTTTCTTTAACTTTTTAGGGGGTGTAGTTAATGTAAATGGAAGAAAACTTTGCCCGCGTATTATTCTTATGACTGATGGAAAGCCAACGAATGAAAATGGAAGTGAAACAGAGCAAGTAAGATAGAAAAAAGCAAAAGCTCAACTTTATTTCCTACTCCTTTTGAAATCTAGCGAAAGATCGCTTATGGCCTGCGTAGCAGGCGGTTTTGTTGGGGAGGGGCAATAATAGCGGGGGGGGGGGGGGGGGGGGAAGGTTAAAGCAGGAAAAACCAGGGGGGAAAGGGCGCGTTCCCGGGCAACCCAAAAAATTATAGCCGCGCCCACAAACAACACGAAACCCTGGTTTTGTCCTGTCGCCAAACACCCCCAAAACCATTGTATTGTTTTTGGAAAGCAAATGAGACATATAAAAAGGAGATTACTACAAGAATATTAAAGAAAACAAAAGCAAAAGGGACAACTTTTTTTTTCTCATCTTGCAAAATTGGTCGAAATTGCTTTGTTGCGCTGGTGAGGGGGGTGTTTTTGGGGGGGGGGGAAAATAGTGGGGGGGGGGGGGGAGGGGAGAACGTTCAAGCAGCGAAGACCAGAGGAGAAAGGGCTCGTTCCCGTGCAAGCCAAAAACTTATAGCCTGCGCCACAGACAAGACGTAATCCTGGTTATGTCCGTCTGCGAAACAGCCCCGAAATCCTTCTTCTGGGCTCCTACCCGTGTACCACGATGTGAGTACGCGCTTTGATTAGCCTGTCAAGGAGCCATTGTCGATTTACCAATCAGGTTGAAAGGAAATTCGAAACACACTTCTGGTAATTCGTTGAGTCAATTGGGGCTCAGACGGAGGCTTAAAAATTACAGCAGTAACACAAGCTACATCGCTGAAGAAGAAGTAAATGTGATACCAAAAAAATCGACACCAGTTCCCACTTGTTCAACGTTTTTACTTTTTATATCTGGTTACCAATATAAGTGATCTTCATGCCTACCAATCACACCTGAAACGGACGTACTATTACCCAAATGCTGAATGCTGTGCTCGCTGACAAACCTAGGAACTGCGTTTCTCTCGAATTTCCGAAGCAGTTATAAATGTTTAATTCTATGAAGAAACTACAATGTAGTTAGTTATAAGTTTACGGAAATGATTTATGGCTGTTTATAACTTTGAATTATTTAACGCCAATCGCGGCTAGTGAATAGCAGTTGATTTCTTCAGTTCACACTGATTGGCTGATTTCAGTTTAAATAACGGTTAATTTTTTTCCAATTAATCTTTCAGGCCTTGAAAGAAGTGTTGGTCGCTGCAGTTCTTTTTGGAGCTCGCTAGCAAGAAGTGGGCCTTCCACATAAGATTCCAATCGCTTGTGTTGGATGTGGGAATGCAGATAAGGTAATACATTTTTTCATATAAATTACGATCAGGAAACAATAATCAGATTGTTCATGTATGATCAAGGGTACTAACTATAGAGCTTTAGATTCTAAAGCGAGGACGACAGTTTCTCGATACTAAGTAGTAGTTAGTACGCGCGGGTGAATCAGTGTTTTGGTGGGAACACTTGATAGCCGTTGTCATTCATTAATAAAGTTGTTGTTCTATTACGAGTTCTAGCGAAAATTTCGTGGTGGCAAAAACAAGTTATCAAATTCCAGAAGTTGGTATTTTTGCGATCCTTCTTTCATGATAAAGATAGCCGTACTAATGTCTCTGGGGCCTGTTTCTCGAAAGGCCCGGAAACTTTTCGGGCCCGAAGGCAAGTTTTAAAATCAAAACCGGTTGAATAGTAGCACAGTTCCTGGTTCACAAACCAGCCAATTTTGCTTCGTTAACTGATAGTTTCATTGTATCATTTTCACAATTATTGAAACTTTGAACTTGAATGCTAACAAGGCCAAAGTAAAACAGCTTTCCGGACTTTCAAGAAATGGACCTCTGGTCAAAAAAATGGACAACGAAGCTTTCTGGGGTATAGATGTCATACTTGATTTCCATCTTATTTTATAGCTTAAACTTGTCTTTGCATCAATTGAATGCCAGACATAATGGTCAAGTTTTGTTATTTAAGAAAATACATAGGCATTTTTTAAAACCGTTTCCTGTTATCTGTGGGAACGGATGGCAAGGATGGATGGATTGAAACTTGAAAAAGTTGGGTCAACCATTCAAGTTTCAATGCTAAGGCAGCAAAAATCGCAAAAAATATTATGGGTTGTGCTCCCTGATCGAATTTGTTCGATATCGCATTCATTCCACAGGAGCTTTTTGTATCTGAGTTAAGGCACTTTAATTTTTTTGAATTAAGTTCAGTATTGCATGACCTAAGGCAGCAATATCGTAGTGACATAGCCTTTTCAACACAACTCTAGTTTAACAAGGAAGTATTCTGCAACCATATCTCACAATTTGTTTCCTGCTTCCCTCGTAAAAGAAACTTCTTGAGAGCATTGCTCAAGTGACAGGAGGGATGTACGTTATGGTTCAAAACATGCATGAGCTTAGTACATTCTTCAGGAGACAAGTACTTTTGTCACGTTTCATCGCAAAGTTTGCACATGGTGAGTGAATAGAATAAGGCATAATAGATGAGTGATTTATTATTGATTCTCTTCAGCTTCTGCGAAATTGTTTTTGTCAGAAGTAAACAGAACAGATTCTTTAATTGGCCTGGTTTGTCCTAGCACGACCGCATGAGAGAATTCTGTATGTATATGTATATGTGAGCTGCGGGGTGAAGAATTATATGAAATTAGATCATCGCAGTTATAGACGCAACTTTTGCAGTTGCGAAAAGAAAGCCTGAAAAAATTCAGGCTTGTACGGGACTACCTATCTAACTATCTCAGGTACAGAACTTTGAACGATGTCCATGCCTACTGGCACCTATATTAAGCAAGCTTAAAAGGCATTTCAGACATGGGTCCTTTAAGTGTCCGTGTAAAGAAGATTTTGACAGTTTTACCACCTCTCCAGTTTGTGTACAAAATCAACGAACCCTTCTCGTGCTGCGCTCTTCCTTGAGCTTAGCGTACTTCCCATCATAGCCTTAGAAGTTTACATGTTTCTTCAAATCGATTTCCACAGTCCTGTCCAGTCTTTTTTCTATTTTTACGATGAGAAGAGGGCGGGGGACTCTTCCGCTTGCCCTTGGGTGAAAACGCATGACAGTGTTAATTAGTGTTTGAATTTTAGATAACCATCTATTAACATTCTAAGCTTCTAGTGCCAAGCAAAAGGGTGTTATCTCCATAAGCTAAGAAGCAAGTAGGCCGTAAAGGCGCGCTGACAGATTCTTATTTGTCAGAAAAAAGGCTTAAGAATGTCCTCCTTGATCTTCAAAGGGTACATGTCCTTTATTCTCTTTTTTAACAGACATGGCTCAGCTTCACTCACTTATCGCTTTGCAACAGTTTATGCGAGGACTTGGGGAGGAGATGGATGAAGCTGAACTGGTATGGAATATAGAAAAAAAAAAAAAAA